CTGAGGAATCTTTCAAGAAGGAATGGCCCTAACCAACTTTGTATTGACGGTAGTCGGAGTTAGTGCTATCATACTAATGATGCGTAGTGATGTGAAGCAATCGGCTGCCATTTTCCGCCGCAATGCTCGTCAAATTCGCAACTGGCTTGAGGAAGAATCTGCCTCTGCCACCAAGTATGTTCTCCACCTTCGCCCTCTTTTTAGTACTTATGCGTGTGTTAGTGTATGCATTATCATACATGTTCTTATCCTTCCTCTTTTATTCGGCCATTTTCCTTCCCTATGATCCTTTCTGGTTGCTAATACGACTTTGGTTTTCTGACATAACATTTGCACTATATATATCAGGTATAGTGTGCGGTTCTGATAACAACCACTGTTATTGTGAAAACTGCAAACCGTTACATTTTACTCAATTTGATGCACTTTGGTGGAGTCATCCCAACAAAGCGGCAGATATAAAAACACTGTAGCATTTTCATAAATAAATCAAAGATTTCTATCATTGTGAAAAGGTGCAGCATATAAATCTAATAATGCATCGAATTAGGGAAACACTGCAAGCATTTTCAGTTTTCACGGGACGACTGATTTTTATTTGATCTGCAACCTATATATATATACATATATTTTGGTTAAAAAAGAAAGAAGTCTTAATGTAAAAAATGAGAATGATTTCCGTGCATTGGACTTGAGATCTAATGGCTTTAAAATCGCCAATAATGTGTCAGATTGGGTTTAAAATGTGGTGACATTTTCCTAAATATGTGAACGTTTACATTCCACCTCAAAAATTTGTAGTACTTGAAGTTAAAAGTGGACTGCAATGAAGAAAAAGTGAAATTTTCGCACTTTTCACGTGATACACCCTTTTTTATTAAAACCACACCCTATACACACACATTGATGGTCCTTTGAATTTAGGCCCCTTTCAGAAAACTAAATAGATCTTGCTATTTCACCCCAATAACCCTGATCAAATGGGCTCTTAATCCCATTTATCCAAAATAATACTACATCCGTCCCATATTGTGTGTCTCCTTTGACTTTGGCACAATTATTAATAAAGTTGTTGAAAAAGTAAAAGTTGTGGTTGAGATTTGAGTATAATAAAGTGAAATGTTGTGGACCATATATTTCTTTCCAAAAAGGGAAAGGTGACACTTATTTTGGGACAACCCAAAAAGGAAAGTAAGTCAGGTAAAATGGGACGGAGGGAGTAATTCAAACAAGTTAAGTATGCCAAGTATAGCTTCACTTACTAGTGAATGTGAAAATGTTAGTAGTGCTGGTGTTTTCGAGAATTGTACTTTATCACAAGGAAAGATATCAATGAACTCCATTGAGGTTTGTCATAATATCTATCAGGTACAGGACAAATGCTTTAGAAATTGGTGGCCATCTCCATCAAGTTTAAAGAAATATAAGAAAACACTACCATTAAATAACCGTTACTGACAGTTCTTAACTTATAAGAATATAAAATTACTCTCATTAAAGAAACTTTACAACCAAGTGAAATAGCATGTAATGTTAAATTTTACAAATTAAATAACAATGTACAATAATAACATTTGAAATAAAATATAAACTAACTCTCCCTATAATCTCTGAGTAAACTTAACACTTTGACTTCATAAGTCATAGTTTATTACTCCGTAATATTTACTTTTAATTTCTTACATACAATAGTATTATATAACGTAGAAATACTTTTGAGCAGTTAGTTCTAGTATATATAATATTCCTTACTTTATTATATTTATAGTAAAAAATTGGAAATAATAGTTGTCGAAGATGGATATTGGTTATCATGAACTTCATGTTGTGAAGTTTATTTAGGGAATGTGGTAGTTTGTATATTTTGGATTTTTCACTTACTAAATACCAACTTGCATATGCATAATTATTAGTCTGAGAAGTTTCAAACAACAAACCCATGGCATCACCACACACCAAAGTTCATAAAACATCTTTTTTTTGGACAGGCATTTGGAGCGTGTGTTATATTTCTTCAAGTCTTTCGTAACCTGTTAACTATTGATTCTTTTGGAGCGGGTGTTATATTTCTTCAAGTCTTTCGTAACCTGTTAACTATTGATTCTTTTGGAGCGTGTGTTACATTTCTTCAAGTCTTTCGTAACCTGTTAACTATTGATTCTTTTGGAGCGTGTGTTATATTTCTTTCTTAGGGTTGTCAATCTGATTTGCATCCGTCTTTCTTGTTAGGGAAATGGAGAAAGCAAAACCCAAGGAGATACCCAAGAATGACATTTCCAAGGAAGACAAGCATTAAGGCCTGTGGTGTTCGCAGATCTTGGTGCTCATCGTTTCCTTTTTAGCATACGTTCAGTGATTTGGATGAAAATATCACCTTCTGTATATTTTTGGTTCGTGAGAGTATAGTTGTCTCTAGATCACTTGTTATATCTGAGATATGATTGAATAATTGAATTAGATTTTCCAGAGTTGCCAACTAGCATATTTATAATGTTGAAAATTAAAGTTTTGGGTTACTGATGTGATAACTTGGACTGACATGTCGCATTTCTCTTCCAATTAAGTTGCTTCGGTGGAGGATCGGATGCAGTTGAGAAGACAAAAAAAACTGCATTCTTAAATATAGTCTTAAACTGCAGTCTTAAGGCTCAACCACAACTCAAAAAGCACTTCTCACCTTTTTTGTTACAGTAAGTCAAAAGAGTGTTTGCAAATACCCATTTCTGATTAAATTTAAGCACTTCTATACAAAAAGTTGAAAGCAGCCATTGTGATGCGTGCTCTTTTCTACTTCTAGGTATTTTAGTAAATAATTGGAACTTTAAGGATATTTATTGGATCAAATATTTCAGCTAAGCCCAAAATGCCCCCTTCATCTTTCTACTCTACAGTCTACACCTGCTTCCTCCACTTCCGGTTCTAGGGATGGACTGGGCCGGGCCGAACCGGCCCGGAACCGGACCGGCCCGCTACTGTGCGGGCCCGGACCGGGCCGGGCCCGGTTGGCCGGTTCCGGGCTTTTAGCCCGTGTTGGCGGGTCGGGCGGGCCGGTTCCGGGTCCTATTTTTGTTGAACCGGCCCGGGCGGTTCGGGCCGGGCCCGGTTCATTGTTTTTTTTTTTTGGTTTTTTTCAATTTTTTTTCTTTTCCTAGGGTAGGGCTGGGTGTTTTAGGGAGGTTTGGGGCGTGGGGGTGAGGGGGGGGGTAGGGAGATAACAAGAAAGTAAAAAAAAAAAAACATTGAACCGGGCCCGGCCCGGTTAGGCCCGGACCCGGTATCAACCCGGGCCGGTTCCGGGCCCATGTAATCCGAAAAAAAGCCCGCCCGGGCCCGGCCCGGAATCGGAACCGGCCCGGCCCGGGTCCATCCCTATCTGGTTCCAAGTTCGATCTCCCCGTCCCAACTGTATACATAATACACCTGCTTCCAAACTAAAAAATCCAGCTCTTTACAGCCAAGGTGGCTTCCTCCACTGCCCTTGGTGTGCCGTTGTTGGTCAGACTTTCAAGACTCTCTTGTATATATCTGGAAAGAGAAAGAGGACTCCTCTGGGGATGGCTCTTGGTCGAAGTATTGAGTGGGGAAAATGACGGCGTGAAGGACGATGGCCAAGTAACTGGCGGTGACGTGTGTTGGATGGGCGGCTTGTGTATTTGGATTTTGGACGGCGATTTGATTCACGAGCGGAGAGGAAGATACAAAGCTTTTCTTCTTCCATTACATTTTTATTTGGATTCTCTATTTAATTTGGATAAGGGTATTTTTGTATTTTAACTATATATTACATCTGTTATCACTTTTTTATGAAACATTTCAACTTTAACCTTTTAATTGTAATCACTTTTATTTCCAAACACTATATACTTTCACTATAAATCACTTTTTCAAGAATCTCTTAAAATAATCATTTTTTTGATAACCACAAGCATTTGCAAATAGAACCTAATCTGTCTAAATATAGTCCTTAAACTGCAGTCGTGAAGTCTATAGCAACACTTCACATTGGTTTGATAACCTACTAACACATGTTAAAAACTTACCGTAAAAAAACACATGTTAAAAACTTCGAAAGTTCAGATAGAAAGCTTCTCATACTTCTCCGTAATAGTGCCTTGTGCAAATTTGATGACAAAAAGGGCAGAACACCTTTGGGATGAGCAAAAAACAGATCTGCGGACGATTTTTTTTTGTAGTCTTATGTGATATCATACCAGCCTTTTTAGGATTGTAAAAGTATTGAACCAAAATAATTGACATTATTATTCGTATAAATTATTGTATAATTGTATTAATATTTGTTTAAGTATTGAATCTTATTTTTATATTTGTATGACTTGATTTATTTTGGATTTATGAATCTTATTCGAATATTCAAATTGTTGAAAATATTTAATTGTCAAATTTATTAAAATAATTAAAATTATAATGTAAATTTATGTTTTTTGTTCCATTTTCATAATATATATTTCATACAAATAAAAACATATTTACAACATTGATGCCAATGCAAACATGTCTAACCACTCTAACCGGTTAATTACTAGGAAGTATATAACACTAAGGCAACCTACCCTGAAAGTATGTGACAAAGCTAAAATATTCAAAATAAAATATGCGAAATGTCATACAACTAATTATAATATAGATGTGTCATTAAGAAATGAAATATGTTACTTATTGAATCATTAATGTAAATATCATTACTTTTCAATCTACAGTGATTTTATTTCATTTGATTGACTTTTCACGACCTAGAAGGCTAGAAGCAAGTCTATACGGTATTACGGTCAATGATAAGTGTGAAGATTCAAATATGTATAGCTAGCTCTATACTAACTAAAATTGTACTTCCGTCCCTTAAAACTTTGTCAACTTTTTTGGATGTCCACTAATTTTGTCACTTTTCTTTTTAAGTAAAGAATTTGTGGTTTTTGTTAATTCTCTCTTCTGTACAAATCTCAACCACACAGTTTTTACTTTATTAATAATCTCGTACCGGTCAAACTTGGAAGGGAGTAGTATTTTATTTAATTCAAATCTAAAAAATAACATTGCGATCGTTATTTTCGTTGTCTGCTCTCTGCTCGTGTTATCGCTTCCTCCGCGACCTCTACTCTGCCATTCAGACCTTGAGTAAGCTTCCCAGCCCCTACTCTTGCCTCTGTTTTTTCCATCAATATATTAATCTGTATTCTTCGAATCTCTGAAGAAGAAGAATACCAGAAAGCTGTTACATTTGAAATTTGGCAGCTATTTTGTCTTATGATTCGCTGAAAACGTTTGGTTCATCAGGCGTCGGTATGGCGAAGGCCATAATTGCGCCGTCGATGCTGTCATCGGACTTCGCCAATTTGTCCACTGAAGCCCAAAAGATGCTCCGCTGTGGCGCCGATTGGCTCCATATGGACATCATGGTACTTCCATTTTTTTACTTCTCCTACTTTAAGATTAGAGTCACAAATCTCCCTTGCTTTGTTTTGTAGTCCTTCGGTTGGTTTAGCTAAAAATTACGATTAAATGTTCAGTTGCTCTGATTTCAATCTCAAATTTTAAGTTCACTTATTCTTGTTTAGGTTTAGCCCCAAATTTGAACCTTTTAGATGTCTTGTCTTTTTCTTTGTATGAATGACTAAAATATGAGGGGTGAAAATAAGTGAAAGAAGGTAAGAGACAATTTAAAAACGGTGATAAATTTGTTAGATGAGATGAAAGAAATGAGCAGTGGAGTTGGGTGCATACAACTAGGAGAAACGAAAATTTCCCTTTCCTTTTTTATCCCCATTTTCTGCCCTTCCAAAAATGGCATGCGTATTACATTAGAAGTTGCAGCTTTGTGCTTTTATCATTTACTTAATCCCTAAGCTGTTTTCTGACGAACTTTATACTCATGCTGGGCTAAAATTTTCTCTGTACGATTGCAGGACGGGTAGGTCGAATTTATGGTGTGGCATACCTATTCTTACACATGTCTTATGGGGAACATGTATCAATTAATAAAAGCAACTCAAGTGATTACCTTCATGCAAAATGTGACCGCAATTACTTTGTTGTGTTCTTTTGTTGCAGTCACTTTGTACCAAATCTAACAATTGGTGCTCCAGTTATTGAGAGCTTGAGAAAGCACACAGAGTAAAATCTTCCCATTGATGTGATAATGTGATATCATATCCCTGTTGAGCAATGAGTAAACTTTTTCTGAACTACACTGTGGATTCTCATGTCTTACAGTGCATATTTAGATTGCCATCTCATGGTGACAAATCCTCTGGATTATGTTGAACCATTAGGAAAAGCTGGTGCTTCAGGTTTTACATTCCATGTTGAGGCATCAAAGGGTGAAATTCTTGACTTCTTTTTTACTCAAGTTATATAATTGCTTTTACTTCATTTGAGCTCTAGCTCTATCCAATGCAGATAATTGGCAGGAAATTGTCCAAAGGATAAAATCAAATGGCATGAAACCTGGTGTTTCATTGAAGCCCGGTACTCCAATTGAAGAAGTCTTTCCGCTGGTATTTATTATCATTGTTTTTTAGTATTGATATTTATTCATTTGGTTTGATGAGAATCACATGGTATGTTGCAAATGCATATACTCGTATGTGATAAGGTTTGCCTGATGTTATTCTCCACAGCTTGAAGGTGAAAACTCAGTTGAATTAGTTCTTGTGATGACTGTTGAACCTGGATTCGGAGGACAGAAGTTTATGCCTGAAATGATGCATAAGGTGCATTCTTTTAAATTAGGACATCCTCTTTGGTGTTTTTTATTTATTATTTCCGAGAAAAGAGAGACAGAATGTATATGCCTTTGAACTATATGCCAAAGAACAAATATACCCCTCAACTTTTTGTTGGAACAATTAACCAAAAACTGTAAAGTTGAAACAAATATGTTCTTATGTCCAAATACTAATAGTTGAGGGTTATGTATGTTCTTTGATACATTGTTTAATGTTATATTTGTTCCATCTTTACAATTTTTGTTTTTAACTATTTAAGTATTCCCAAATAAATTGAGAGGTATACATGTTATGTGGTATAAACTTTGAGGATACATTTGTTCCTCTCTCTTTAAGATTATACCAACATTTATAATTTGATTTCAGGTACGTGAACTAAGAAAAAGGTACCCAACCGTCGACATTGAGGTATGAAAACAATGTCATATAGGCTATTAATTAATTAATCATAAGGTGAACTGCTACTTGTCTGAAAAACTGTTGTCGTGGCAGTGATCTACCATTTACGTGTGTTATTGGGCCCGGCCTGGGTGTGCTGGCATGGAAACCAGCAACCCACTTGTGTTTCCGGGCCAGTTAAGGAGAACCCATATGTCAGCCCAATCCTGCCCAAACCCACAGACCCTCTTTTAACCCGGCCCAAAACTCAGTGCAACCCGCAAGCTGCACAGTACTCTTTTTTAAAAACTTAGTTGTAGGAAGGAATCAATTTGGCGGGTTTGTTTTGTGTGTTTTTGAAGTGTTATTATACCTTTATTTTGTAACATGTTTAAGTAGAAACTTTTTTTTTTTTTTTTTTGGATGAAGGGGGCTTATATTGGAATAAAAGCATTCAGCAAGGATATAGAATAACAAGAGTACCACCGATAACCATCCGCCCTTGGGCCAGACTCTGAGTTAACCACCTTCAAAGAAGCAGTATAACTCGCTGATCCTAAAATGGGCATAATTGAGCCAACAATGGTTACTGCAGCACACTCGTCACCCGAGCCTAATGCAAGAGTCTTACAAAAGTAAACAAAACAAATAGCAAAAACAACAGTCTGAACGCCAAACGAAACAACTAAAACAATACTAAAATAAGAACCACCGTGGAACTGCTGCATCCACATCTTCACGGCCACCTCAGGCGGGCCTAAGAGCTGAGGCCCGCCTCCTCCCCGTTTTTTGTGCTGTCCAGTGCCATCTCCTCTGCTGAGTTGTTATCCTCTGCTGGATCCTTCCAGACTCTCCTGCGCTTCTGATCCACCGAGACCTCCTCTGCACCACTTCTATTCTCCTCCTTTGTGCCACTACTTTCTGTCTCAGCTGTGCTCCCCTTACGACCCTGTCTCATAGTTCCTTCGTCGTCTTGCTGAATCCCCCTGTGATCACTCGGGCCTCCCTGTTTATCCATCAACCACGTACCACCCCTTGTGGGGCTAATCTTCCCCCCACCCCCTGCTCTCAGATCAGCACTAAAATTTGTCTCCAAAACGAGATCCTCCACATATTTTAAAGGGCAAAATTTCTCAGAGTGCCCCATAATGCCACAAATGAAACAGAAACTTGGAAGCTTTTCATATTTAAAATCTACCCAGTGTCCTTCCCCTCTCTTTGTCAAAGTAGAACCCTTTTTTAGGGGCCTTCTCACATCCAACTTTACCCTAACCCTCAAATAAGAGCTCCACTTTTCCTTAAAGTGGCTCTCATCAAAACTAATAAATTCCCCAATATAGTTACCCACCCTCCTAGCAGTATCAACATTCATAAACTTATAAGGCACGTTATGCACTTGCACCCAGAACTCTGCTTCAAATAAGTCCATTTTATGAGGTATATCATTAGGACCAACCGCCTTTAGCAGTACCAAGTTTCGTTCAAACAACCAAGGACCATCTTCGATAACACGATTCATATCAATTTTATGATTAAAAGTGAAGAGATACCTCTTTTCATCAATCTCTTGGATGGTCACTCCTCTTCCAGGCCTCCAGAGCGATGTAAACAGTTCATGTACTGCCTGAGATCTGACTTTCCGGTTTGTATTAATGACTCCCACCACCGGAAACCCCACCGCCTTTGCATTTGGCACAGAATCCTCTTCCTCCTCATCATCAAAATTCAGCCTACTGTTTTCTTTCTCCAAAGCCAATCTTCTATACTGTTCTACCACATCTTCCATAGCTTTTGAGGAAGAAAAACCTGTCTGCCCAAGCCTTTGTGCTGCCGACCCTCGCCCGTCAAGAAGAACAAAAGAACGCCCACCTCCTTCTGTCTCAAGTCTGAATCGATGACTGAAACGAGAAGGGAAAATCGAAGCCTACCCCAGGCGGCGGTAAAGCCGTACCCTAGAGAGAAAAAATGTTTAAGTAGAAACTAATAATTACTAAATCATTAATTAATAATGATACTAATACTAGGGGAAAAATAATTAAAATTTAAATACACCACGAATCATACATTCTTGGTTCTTTAATACTACCTTTGCCCCTAACATTGAGACAATGGGGAGTGATGCCACTATTAAGAAAAGTGAATTGTGTGGTTGTTATTAAATTGATAAATTGTGAATAAAGAAAGGATAAATTGTAATCGCTCAAATATTACCAAATATGGTAAGTATATGACTAACTTAGTGGGACATATGAAAATGCTAAAATGGCTCAAATATAGAGATACGAAGGGAGTAATAGTCAATTCAATATGTTAATGCCGAATGTGTCGGAGGTTTCCCTTGAAGCAGCCACCCTTCAAAGAGTGCGTAATAGCTCACTGATCGAGCGCTCTTGCGCCGAAGATGCACGAGGCTAAACAATTGAGTTTTCAAATATCAATTTAAAAGTGTTGCTACTACAATGACCGGAGGTGTTGTTTATTTCACACATGAAATTTTTTAGAGTATTTTTAGAGTTTAGAATGTTAAATACAATCCTCATAAATTTTTAGAGTATTTTTAACTATGTACGTAACAACATAAATTTAAAGTTGACGGTATAGATATTACATATGTAAGTTTGGGATACTTACCTCACACCTCTTTAAAGTTTGGGTATTTAATATAAATTTCCTTACATCAATTAGTGCTATTATTATACTATCCACTTGGGTATACAACATTCCAAATATAAGTGGAAACACACAATATTACAGTTTTGTAAAGATTTTATAATAAACATTATTGTAAATTTGTCCTACTAAATTTGTTTCATATAATTTTTTAGTAATATTTGGATGATTGCAATTCATTTTTATTTTATTCACTCTTTATTAACTCAATGTCAATAAGACAATTTCACTTTTCTTGATAGCCGCAACACTACCTCTCGTCCCAATCTTAGGGGACGAAGGTAGTATGATATTATATTACTCCGTAGTATCTATCTAATTCCAAGTGAGCATGCAACATACGTAGTACATGTTTTGAATATGTGCTATGATTATCAGATTATAAATGAGAGATATAATGTTCTGTATTTTATTTTGTACCAATATTGATCGGATTTGCCAGCTGTTGATCGGGCTGACCCTCTGTGTCTAGGTTGACCCTTGACCCGGTCCTGGTAGCCTCTTGGTCCAGTTTTGAGTTTTGACCACATAGTCATTTACTTTTACAGGTGGGTGATTGGTTAATGAATACTGTTTTGTACGTTGTACAGGTGGATGGTGGTTTAGGAGCTTCAACAATTGAAATGGCTGCTTCAGCTGGAGCAAACTGCATTGTTGCTGGAAGTTCTGTTTTTGGTGCTTCTGACCCAGCTCATGTCATATCACTATTGCGTCACCGCGTAGAGGCAGCCCAGAATGGCAACACTGGGTTCTGATTCACCCAAAACAACCTCTCTGTATTGTGATTAAAATTGAATTCCCATAGATATTTATCACAGAATAATAAATAAGAGTACTCAGTTACTGGATTACATCCTTAATGTGATATTGTCAAACCAGCACTAAATATTACTCCCTAAATTTTCTTTCCTGTCCGAATTTACCATACACCGTAATACCGAAAATCCTCCATATATAAGTGAAGTATTAAGGATGTTTTTATTTGGACGGTAATTTGTCCCAGACCAGACTAAACTTGGATAGCTATAAGAATACAAAGATATCAGACCAGTTCAGACTACATCAGACTAGCAAATTACAGTCCAAGTAAAAACATCCTAACAATTCTAATTTTTATCCAGCGTTTTTTAAATCTGAATTACATAGTTGCCTATATTTGTGAAGTATTAGATGTGTAAGTCGTATTATGCGAAACCGAGGAAAGGTCTCTAACAACAATTAAAAAATGTTGTGATAAAAAAGTTGTTAACCTAATACTCAAAAAAGATCAGGTCCAGCCCTCCCTGGTCCAGCCGCCGTCCAAACTCCGCCGTTTGGGGCGGTTGCCGGTGGAATTTTTTTATGAAATTTTTTGAGCATGTTCTTCATCAAGTCTAGTTTGTCCATACCAAATTTCAGCTCAAAATTCGACTGGGAAGGCATTCAAATCATTTTTTGAAGTTGACTGCATTTTTATATGTATATTTTGGCGCAGTCAACTTCAAAAAATGATTTGAATGCCTTCCCGATCAAATTTTGAGCTTAAATTTGGTATGAACAAACTAGACTTGATGAAGAACATGCTCAAAAAATTTCATCAAAAAATTCCACCGGGAACCGCCCCAAACAGCGGAGTTCGGACGGCGCCTCCCGTCCCTCCGGCTGGACCTGATCACTTCTCACCTAATACTATCTATAATGTGCAAGTTTTCATGGATATTTATGCCTTAGTTGCAAATAATATAGATTACCTATATTAGTATTAATACTTCTATTTTTATGTAATCACCTATATGAGTGTGAGGTGGTGGCGCTTTCATGAAGCAGCGACAATGCTTCTAGAGCACTCATGAAAATCAGGCATGCGCACGACTTCTTAGCGCACAACGGCATCACCGACGAGAAAGGCGGGGTGAAAAATGATCCTTAAGACATTGACTTACCATTTGTAGATTATTGGTTTATAGAAATTATTAGTCTCACCAATAAACTTGAAGTTTAAAGACTTAAGGGTCTAGGTTTGGTTCATAGTCTTCGGACATCAGATTGAAAAACCTCACCCATATATGAAATCTAGTAAGGATTTTTTTTAAATACTTAAAAATGATGTGATGTTACCGGTCTTGTAACGAAAGGCCCGTTATATCTTGAGTGAAATTTCCGTACGTCGGAAATAATTTTTGTTACCGGTCTGGCGCGTCTCGAGCTACTAATATAATTTTACTTCTTTTTATTGATTATTTTGCAGGTCAATTATCGAAGCTAGATACTCATAGAGGTCAACATGTTGATTTTCAAAGGATAGAACCAACAGTCTAAGGAATTGTGGCGAATAATGATTTTTCCTACGGAATATTCAACGATGTGGCCAATACCCCCCCCCCCTCCCACCCCCCGTGATTTGTGATGTCAAAAATATGGCTACCTTTCCAGCTCCGAACGATGGTCAAAATTATGGTATGTTTTTTTTAACAAAGCCTAATCACGAATAACAATAGTTCAAAACGTCACTTTTTTAAACAATGAAAATTATGGGGAAACTTAACTTATCCTCAACCGACAACCACAACAAAATATGGGCACGAGACAAGCCACGCTTCTGAAATTCAATCGTATAAACCACTGCAAAAGTATAAGCCAATTTGTTAACATTTTTCATGACATAACAAATTAAAAATAAAAGTTTATGTGCACTACCTACCTAGACACTGCCAAATGACTTTTTTTTCCCGCAAATCCTGAATTAAGCCGTCAAGCTTTATCTTGAACACCCGACTAATTACATCCATGCGATCTTCCGGTTTTAAATTTCTTGAAAAGAGAAAACGATCAATTTCTGGCCACCTTAGTTACAGGTAAATGTTATAAATAAATCTGGATAACCTACCCACCTGCATATGGCCATAGCATTCTGATAATTTTGTTTCATATAGGCTTAAATACGTTTTTAGTCCCTGCAAATATGATAAACTTTGTTTTAGGTCCCTGCAAAATATTTTTTTTGTTTTTCATCCCTGTAATATGCACTATTTTGGTTTTAGCCCTCCTCTAATTCCAAAACCACTCTACTTAGAAAAAAATTATTGTCAGTTACATAGATTTACTAGAAATATTTAAATTTATCTTTTTTATAATTTTTTTGAAGCTAATATGAAAGTTAAAATAATGTAAAACTAAGTATTCACATTTTAAAAAAATATATTTAAAGCCTTCAAAAAATAAAATAAAATAAATTTTAATAACATGACAAAGAATTAGTTTAATTAGTGCCGATTCCGAGGCTCCTGTATTCCATCTAGCTACCAGAAATCAAAACTCCTAGCAAGGCGGATGTAATAAGCATATACTCTGAAGCGGTCTCTCCCTAGCATGTCTAGGGTTTGGTTTTTCCTTAGCAGATCTAAGGTTTGGTTCTTCCGGCCGGTGAATCCCCTTTATCTGTGTCCGACGCTAGGATTGGATTTGAGGCAGATTGACAAGAATCCTTGCCCAAATTTGACGACATCGAAGCCAGAGTTCGGCGATCGATTTCTTCGTGAGCAGGGTAGTAAGGGCATGGCAGCAATGAAGATGACCACTAGCAGTGGATTTGCTACGCGCGCGGGATGAGGAGAGTTGTACGGATTTCGAGCAGGCCAGATGATGATCGACAATGGAGGATCATTTAGAGTGGTACCAAAGATACGGCTTCCTCCCGAACCACCGCCATGGGTTGTGCGAGATGCTAGAGTCCGTGAAAGTTTTCCGATAAGTTTTCATTATTTTGTCATTTGGTTTCTTGTTATCGTCTATGTTGTTAGGTTTGTCAGTTTATTTGGGATTTTAGCCTTGTTTTATGTCATTGAACATGTTTGGATCTATTGGAATATGTTTGGCTGTGTCAAGCCCGTTAGATGATTAGCAATTCGTGTTGCTCTTTCAGGGGTGACCGTTTCTAAGGCTCATAATAGGGTTTACGTAGTTGTTGGAGTCTAGTTGGTGTCAGTTTTGTTTTTCCTTTGATTGATGTAATGATCCTGAATCTTACGATATGAATAGAGGCTAGTCTTCGTTCAAAAAAAAACATGACAAAGAATTAGAGGAAATCTATTAGTCACAGTTATTTTGAAGTCAAGCGGATTCAGTGATGGACTAAATGTACTATTTTTGCATGGGCTAAAAACATATTCAAACCTTTCATATACCATGCCCCTCCTGTGAAAGTCAGAGGCAAAACAATCTTTTTCCTTGGGTAGTTGGGTACGTGAATCATTTTCATCACGCAAGAAAGCATCACTCAAACCTTTAAACATCTCGCAACGAAGTTGTTTTTTATGCATTGTAACAAATTGCAATCTTGCAAACTCAACCAAAGTATAGCCGTCAACAATAAACTGTTGAAAAAGTTTTTTCATCTTTAAAAGAGATGAATGAATATTACAACGTTCTTTCACACAGAATGCAAGGAACTCGCTAACACTCATTCTTCGTCTCCCACCCCCAGCGAACACATTACATTTGAACAACAAAGTATCCTCACGATATTCGTCTTCTCCATAAGCAAACAATAACGGATAGTGAAGACCAGAATAGGCATGAATGCATGATTGATGGGTGTGCCTAGTTTGATCACCACTAAACAACAACAATTAAGGAATCATAAACAATTAGTTTCGATGTGACCATGATTGATATTGGGTGTCCAAAAACGGTCATGATTCTGTGTGACCAAAAACAACGCTGGAGGTTGAACACAACAACTGATCGCGAGATTGCTTTGGAAGACACATAATTCCTTCATCCTCCGAAACGACTAAATAATTCTGATAACACACCAACAAAAGGCCCAAAATAAAAGGCTTTAATAAATACTCACGGAGAATGAGACATTAACATAAAAAAAATTCCTAAATGAACATAATTTGCACTAATTTTTTTTATAAAGAAAATAATGAAAAAGGAAAAAAATGGTGCAAATTATGTTCATTTGCACCAATAGTTTTTACAAGAATATCACCACTCCTTGGTCCTGAATGCAACATCACCATTTGTGCTTTATTTTCTGTCAATCCAGGTTTCATACGTGTAAATGTGTAATACATTCGAACATGGTGTACTTATAAATTTTTTCTGCAACTTTTTTAATAATTTAAAACATGTGAGCAAAATGCGTAATTTGTACTATTAAATTTTTTTGAAAATAACCGAAACAGGACTAAATATGGTTGCTAAATTTAAAAAACATGACTTTCTCGTTTTTATTACCTAAATCCAAGTAACTACTATCGAGTTTGAAAAATATTAAAATATTTTTAATTCTATTACAGTTCTATTCTGAAATACACAACATTATTTACTCCCGCACAACGGGAGTTTCAGATAAAGAACAAATATCAAATAAAGAACAAAATATTAAAGAAAATACTAAAAGTGAAATTTAATCAAAATAATTTTACAGTTGGGCTGGCCCACACGACATTATGAGCAAAAATGTAATTTAGTAATTTTTAATGAGTATAATTGTGCACAACATTTACATTATAGTGAATACATCGTAGTAATGTAACTTTATACACAAATACACAATTATAGTCACTACATGTTACTAATGAAATGTGAAACTAAATGTTACTAATGTAACTTTATACTAATAGAGTATAGTTACTAAATGTTACTAACTTTATACACAATTATCGTCACTAAATGTTACTAACTTTATACACAATTATAGTCACTAAAAGTTACTAATGTAACTTTATACTAATAGAGTATAGTTACTAAATGTTACTAACTTTATACACAATTATAGTCACTAAATGATACTAATGTAACTTTATACTAACTTTATACTAATGGTACTAAATGATTTTCTAACCCCCACAACTATCCCAATGGAAATATTTATAGAGGAAATGTATGTTAGGCTTCTAGGTTTGACACAGAGATACCCAATTACAGTGATGAGCCATTGAATGTTTACATTCTAATA